TCTAGATCCCAGTTGCTTAGTCGTCTGGTATGTGGAGCTTGATCCAAAGGTCCGGTAAACATAGGGCGACCATTCGGGGGAACCGGAAAAAATATGACATTTTCCCATGGGGGAAGTAACCCATAGTTATTGAGGAGTTAGGAATATAGATCAACCCCCATAACTCTGTGGTGGACATTTTTTTCGAGATCCCAGTTACTTGCGGAACTAGTTGGTTTTTCTTGAAGTTCCAGTCCAAAGGGGGTTCGTTTAGAAACTCCCAAGTGCCAGACGCATAGGCTGAGACACATCAATGCAAGAAGCTGGCGCGGGACTGTGTGCTCCACGCCATCTACCGAGCTGGGCCCTAAGATTCGATGGAGCTGAAGCGCTCCATGCCGGACATGCGGTCCGGAAATGACATGATTGATCGGCCACCTCAAAATGGGTTGGTGGAAATAACCCCGAAAAAGCCAAAACATGATGTCCACCAAAGGGTCCGGAACCCCCCAAAAAAATCCCACACCCATACATGCCATGTGTCCTTTTGGTGTCCATTAAAGGGTCCTAGTACCTCCTGAGGACGGGTAAAAAGGGGTCTAAGTACCCCTAGAAGGTACCAAGGGACCCTCTGGGGGACAAATGCAAAGCTCACACTACGACTGCAAACCCGTGAGGCCTGCCAGCCTGGCTCGGAGCCGCCGAGGGCGTGGGAGCCAAAGCGTGCTGCAAAATGCGAACGTGCAGGCGAACGGGAGACTGGCGCTTTTCTGGAAGGTATCCCTGGCCGTGTTTTAAAGGGTTTCCAACAAAAACACTTACGGTTCCCCGAGTTTGAAATACACCTGGCAAAAAGTAAGTTTTCCTGTGAATTCTCGCCTCTTGCTATTTATGTTGACCCAAGGATGCTTATTTTCGACTCCGGTGACGCATGGGCGATCCAAGTGCCAGGACCCGTGCGAAAGCAGCCCAAAGCGGCGGCGAAGACGGCAAAGACGCTGCTTCTGGAGGAGCTGGACTGAGTCGATTCGAGGCCCCGCCTTTCAGAGGCACTCGGGGCTTTGGGGAAAAGACTTCGGAGGTTTCGCATGTTTGACACGGGTGGCTCGTCTTTTTTTTGGCATGTGGAGCCCGAAAATGAGAGGGGTGTCCATGTAGTTGCCGTTTAAAACCCGACCCACAAGGGCATCCTAAAAACACGACACACCCACTTGCCGCACCCAAGTCCCCGAGTAATTGATTGCCGCGGCGTGTGCTAGATCAGGCCATTTACGGATGGTCTGGACGGTGCCCACGTTTTGCGGTTGTGCAAAGTGACGGGGTTGATCAAAGACTCGAAATCTGTGCACGAACAATTGGCTGTCGGTCAAAACCAATGGAACCATTTTGGGGCAGGTGCACCACCCATTCTAGAACCTATTTTAGTGGGGATTGGGATGTTCACTGGGGGTACGAGCTTTTGACCCATGGCCATTTAAAGACCTGATGTCTTTGGGCTTCAAATTGGCATTTTTCTATGGATCAACCTCCTTTGGTCATCTGACCGTAGGACATGGCAGGCGACTGCGTTTCAAGGCTTCGGGCCTGGGTGGCTCACCGTTTCAGGCAAGCTGTTGCGTGAATCTCGCCTTAAACAAAAAAACAAAAAAAGTCGGTCCGCGGCGTGGCGAGAGCTCTTGGCTCGCGCCGGCGGATCGGACGTCGCGGACGTCATGGAGATGTTGCCAAGCCGACCTCATGTTATTTTCTGTGCCTTGTCTTTTCCGGTGAGCAGAAAAAAAATCAAGAGTGCTTTCCTCACATGTTATTAATAGGAAATCATGGGGTTGATCCAACACCATGCCAGACGCATTGGAAGGCTTGGACTTGGCAACATCTAAAGTTACTTGAGTGTGGCCAACCGAGCCACTGAAAGCCTTCGACACAAATGCCCTCCGTTCTGCGAACGCGGCAAGGTTTCAAGTGGGCTCAAAATATTGCTTGTTAGAAGAAACGCACCGAGTCTCGTTCTGCAAGAGCCCGTCACCGATGCTCAAAAATCTGTCAAAATATGGACATGCCTAGAAGCCGTGAGAAGTTGCAACTCCGCCAGACACACACACACACACACACACACAGAGAGAGAGAGAGAGAGAGAGAGAGACGGTGGGTCATTTGTGGGCCTGGGCGTGTTGTCAAAGTTGCATCTTCAGGACTGACTTGCCATCGGCTCTATGATTTGTATCTCTCGCAGATCTCCTTATTCAGCTACCTATCACATGTATGTGGGGCAGGGGTTCGAAAACATGCCTCAGAGATTTGGGAACCGCAACTCTTATGAACATGAGTTCGCTTTGCAAGAGTCGCGCTAGATTGACCGGGGGACTGGGTCACAAGTCACAAGGTCTGGTCAACCGGGCAATCCTTGGTTTGAGGAGGCATGTCTTCGAGTGTGTGTGTGAGTGAGTGAGTGAGTGAGTGAGTGAGTGAGTGAGTGAGTGAGTGAGTGAGTGAGTGAGTGAGTCAGTCAGTCAGTCAGTCA